CTGAAAAAAAGATGAATGAAAGCTTTTCATTTGGCACCGTTCTACTCTCCTACAATTTTCATGGTTAGCTATAATATCTTTCTTTTCATCGTATTTTACAGCATTGTTAGGAAGCTCTCTCTACTAGTATTTCGCTTTATCTAAAATACCGAGTTATATCTTGTTGTCCTGCGTCGAAACCACAGGAATGATTCATTCTGATTAGCTTTTAGAGATGCCGTGGTTGTGCTATAATACAAAATCCATTCAGCCATGATCGACACATAAACACACACACACTCTTATTATACAGTAATGCCAGATTCCATGTTACTCTCTACTGACTGAAAACTCTGGCAACAAGTGAGCCTACTGTCTATAAAATACAGAAGTGAAAACGATTTCCATATTAATATTATGACGTTTTCTTACAGCATTCACAGTTAAGCAACATGGAGAAATCAGGCTATTCCTAACATGCCTGTATTATATCATATATATATATATATATATATATATATATATATATATATATATATATATATATATATATATATATATATATATATGTAACATCGATTCTCAGCCATGTGATCAACTAGAGTCAGTCTCCAACCACCACTGATTTCTCTTGTCCCACGGAATCCAACAACCCAGTCCACATCGCCCCACATGGCTGAAACCAACAATCAGAGACTTCATACATTGATGCATATATTGTTTTAATCTGTCCGAGAACCGAGAGACATTTTCCAGCATGAACCTACTTCGATCAACATTGTGTGACGAGGCAGTTGGTGACTAAGCATATGTAACACATGTCCGAGCCAAACATCTCAGTCGATGAAGGTTCACAACCGTGTCAACTGATTCACAAATAAATATTTACACACCACAATGAAAAGACGAAGATTACCTGAAATGTGTTGCGGTTTATTAGCGGTATACATTTCGAACAATCTGATCACCCACATGAACTTGTCGGACTATTTATATGAAAATTTAGGAAAAGGGTTAGTGAAGTTGTCAAAAGGAAATATAGGAATAGGAAGGTCAGCGAGAGAGAGAGAGAGAGAACAATCTTAATTGCTCTACTCTTGGTATGAAAATTGAAATCAATACTACCAAGGTAGGTTCAACCTGAGTACAAATTGTTTTCGTATACATTAAGCAGAGAGTTTGATTTACGGATGTTAAGAGCTTCAATAAATCTAAGGACTCAGCTCTGACAACTTTTATGTAGTACTTTAAAAGATGTTTTCGTGTCTATCCTATAGTTAGTTTCTAGGATATGTTTAGCGATAGACGAAGATGGACATTTATCACCTGCACATATCGGATCTGTTGAGGTCATTTGTTTTCCAAGCTATTCAGGTACATATTCAACCATCCTTAACTGCAAATCACGATTACTCCTCCCTATGTACGTGTGCTCACAAATACATGTAAATTAATAAATACAGTGAGATGTGATGCAATCGTTTTGTGTTGTAACAGACTTTGTCTTCTCTACAATGACGACCTTGGCTGCATAATATGTTTTACAGATAACTGATCTAAGCCTTTTCCTCACAACAAAGTTATGCGAGTGACTAAAAGGTGGTAATGAGACGTAGATAGTTTTCTTAGCAACGGAACACTGTGTACTCTTCAGTGCAATATAACTTTTGCATCTGTCGATAAATTTTAACGGGTAGCCATTCCGCATTGGTGTTGTCTTCACTAAGTTGGTTTCTTTCTCCATTGGTGTCATCAGTGCAGATGTAGTTTATCCTGTTGAATAAGCATCTAACTAAACCGCGTTTACATTGAACTGAACAATAGCTATGCAAATCAGAATATTGCCCTGTTCATGTACGCTTCACATACATCGACCTCTTTCTTGATCGAGCCATCCTCCCGACGATTACGTAACACGTCTAGGAACGGTAGCTGGTTCTTCGTATTTGGTTCACAAGTAAGGTTAATGTGATTTTGAGCCATGGTTATCTTCTCTAGCAGGCTCATGGTATCGTGAAACCTTTCACATATAATCAATACATCATCCACATATCTCTTATAAATTGAAACCCTTCCGATGAGATCGTCAACCATGTTTTCAATATTTAACATGTATACATCGGCGACTAACGGTACCAATGGAGTATCCATCGCGACGCCATCAATCTGTTGAAAATGTTCACCCTCGAATGTGAATTCAACTTTGTCAATACATTATGATTATTTGTCCTTTGGGACCCCAGTGCAGCAGAGGGATTCAGTTACACATCTCCATTTCACTCTCTTCTCTGCAGTCTTCAAAACCTGGCTCCACAACTGCCTACATGCTCTCATTTCTTCCTCACACCATCTCCTCCATATCACCCTCACCTCGGATACCCAACTCGTCGTTTCCCATTTCCCTTCCACCCGAAGACCAGGCCTGACTTGACGCGCAATGTTCCCAAATGGTCTTCTCACTGTATGTCCACCAATCCAATCCAATCCAATACATCTCCACTTTCTTCTTCTGTATATTTGTTGGGCGATAACTTCTTGATTGGTTGATTCGTTGCCAGCCAGCCAGCCAGCCAGCCAGCCAGCCAGAGTTCCTTCTTGCTTATTCTTATTACTCAGCCCATCCGATCGGTCTTCAGTATAGAGTGAGAGTAGGTGGCAGCTGTTCATTTGATGTTTGTTTGTAGTTTGTTGGAAATGCTCTTCGAGTTATGCCCCAAGTCTCTCAACCATCGCATTGAAGGACTGACTTGACCAACTTGGTGTAGAAAATCCGAATGTTGTTCACGCTTTGTACTGACTGCAGTGCAGTGGAGTGCAGTACATCTCCACACTGATTATTTCAGATTGATTCAGGATGGCCTGCCTTGTTGTCTTTCCGATCCTGGCTGTTTTTGACATTCTCATCTGTGCCTGTGCCGTCTGTAGTTGAAACGATGCTGCCTGTCTAGGTAGGTACGTAGGTAGGTGGGTGAAAGAGACTACTTCCTTTAGGTTACTCCTATTGATGGTGATTGGTACTTGTTGTTGTTGTTGTTATTGTTGATTGGGTATCTTCATTTCCTCTACTTCTGTCTTCTCTACTTTCACTTGAAGTCCGGCTTTCGCTGCCCTGCCTCTTCTGTCAACTTACTGGTTTTCGCCTGTAGATCTTCGAATTGTGCGACAAGACACTAGTCATAAATCATCATCACTTTATTGTATAGTCCTTATTATTGATCTAGTTCCACTGATAAAATCGTCTGTTAGACTGTTAAGTTCAGGGATTTAGCAAGGGTACCGCTGATTGTCGGTGTACACTATGAATTTACAGGAGCTGAAATGATTGACACATGAAGGACAACAAATACTGATCTAAAAACAGGGTGATTACAAAGCATAGAGCTTTACTATACACTGTCTGACTTCATCAATCGTACAAGAAATTATAGACTGAATAGTTGAATTTGATAGACTAATAAAAGCGATAAATTGTAAACCTTATGTGATGAGTCGTATGGAGGGCATGTAGACTATCGGAGACGAAAGGAATCAGTGGGATAGAACGTTTGGTGACATATCTAAAAATCGGTCACGATAGCACTGATGTATTCACTCCTTGACATCTTGTAAAGGTGGAATTTTCGCACTAACTGTTATCTGTCACATAACTTTGTCTGCTCTGATATTTTTCCCTTACTTTATATTTCTTTCGACTGCATTCTCTTATCTTCATCCTTCACCTCACTGCCTTTCTACTTGGTGTACTGATTGAGGTGTGGCAACTCAGACCGTTACGCAGTAATGCCTCGTCCTATGTTGATATTGATTGATTGACTGCTCTGATATCACTCTTTTTCTATCCGCCTGTTCTTTGTGTACTTCAGTGAAGTGTGGCAAATTGAATCGATTCAATTGTGTACAAGGTTCCACGTTGATTTTTACCAGTCAGTCAATCAGTCACGTAATATTATTACTTCAAAGTAGTTCTACCCATGGAGTACTACCATCAATTGGCGAGCCATCGAAAACCTTGAAGCCATGAATATCTGTTTTGTCCTCAACTAGAACTCCTAAGGGATGTACACATGTGAGCCGGCACGGGATAAAAAGGAAGACTGTTCCATCGCAAACCTGTTACCATTCGGACACAAAATAGGAAAATAGATGTTTTTTGCAGAACATTTTCAAGTCTCCTAAGCTAACAATGTAAATACAGCCCTACTAAGCGAATAATAACTTTCGTCACGTCACTGGATCTTAACAGCTCAGAATTCGAGAAGTATCATAGAAGATGTGATAAGATGTCACATCTGTAGCTGGAAGCTACCAAGCTTCACTTACATAAGGCAGACATGCTCTCTCTCTCTCTCTCTTTAAGGCGGTTCATAGCTGATCAAATATGTCAGGATGGTGTATAAGGCCATTGAAGCTGTATATTCTACTCTGGGTTTTACCACAAAATGTTTCCTTACTTCCTGCACTATGAAAGTATTCACATACAACAACATTTTGATCCTATTCAGTAGTTCATCTATGAGTTAAGTATACACATTTTGGTTGCACTTTTAAAAGAGCCTTTCCTCATAGCTGATGTAAAGAGGGATGCCTGACGAAAGTTTCCAGTTATTTGTATTGCTATGCAGGACGGTGCCAAACTTAACATTGGGAGGAATTCCTTCATCAAAATACCGTTTAGACCAAAAATTTCACTCCGTATTCTACGCGCTCATACCAACACATCATTCAGAGGGCTTTCCTACAAAATACAGATAAACAGCTTTATTTTTAACTATCTCCGGGAGCTTTCAGTTTGCATAAAGTGGAAGATCATGACAATATGATGATTGAATGAGACCGCTTGATTTAATTCAGAATCCAACTTTGAGTTTGGCATACTGACGAAAATTCACTAGTTAAATAAATTACCCCTTGGTATTTTATTTGAAACTTTTTCTCTGATACTTTTTCTATACACTGGATAATCTATACCCTATATATAGTGATTAACAATCCTATTTCTTCTGTTTTACAACATTATACAGCCTGATAGAGAGGATAAGGTTAAACTGATGCAATCAATGGAATTATCTATTATACGTAAAGGTACTTACATATTATACATGTTTTATAGTGTAAGAGAGAGAGCGAGAATGTCTCTCTGTGTGTGTTCCTGTTTTTTTGTTTCACATCTGTATGACTTTCACTAACCCTAATTTAATAACGATAACTTTGTGGTGGAATGTTTATTTCTAGCATGTCCCTTTTAACTGTAAAAGCTTAAATGCTTTAGTTCAACTGATTAATTCATGTTCTATACTCATGCTCATGCTCACTTTGGTGTTTGTTTATCAACACGTGATTATCTAACTATCTATATCATTTGGAAATATTCTCATGAACAAGTGAAATGTTTCAACATAGTCGTCATCATCGCCTGTACAATCTAATCACTGTAGACCTCTGAACAACTGTTACATTTCAATCATATAACTAATCAGTGATTATCATCTACTACACATTCTACGAGATTGAAGTGAAGTCCAGTTGGCACGTCACTATGCATAGAGTAATCCATCCAAATCAACAAACGACCAGGCATTGTTGCGTAACCCTCCGAGTTGACACAGCTCATATCACCAGACCAAGTAAAAAGGCAGTGAAGTCGAATATGAAGAAGAAAAGAAAGTTCAGTCAAAAGAAATATTAAGTAGGAAAAGAGAGAAAGGAAGAATGACCAAAATAGTGAGATTTAGTATAGCTTTGTTAAAATGGGGTTAATGTGTATACATCTTCGCCATTCACATCGATTCTCAGCCATATGATCAACTAGAGTCAGTCTCCAACCACCACTGATTTCTCTTGTCCCACGGAATCCAACAACCCAGTCCACATCGCCCCACATGGCTGAAACCAACAATCAGAGACTTCATACATTGATGCATACATTGTTTTAATCTGTCCGAGAACCGAGAGACTTTTTCCAGCATGAAACTACTTCGGTCAACATTGTGTGACGAGACAGTTGGTGACTAAGCATATGTAACACATGTCGGAGCCAACAATCTCAATCGATGGACAGAACAGGACAGTAATGTTCTCACCCCCTATACCTGATGCTTCTTAGGCTTTTTGTTATGATTATCCAAATAGATTTTGCCAATCCACTCTACTCTCTTGTGTCACTTTTGAAATTAATTAGTTATTTACTACAACTAACAGTAGCAATAATATAAGTTGCTTAGTTTCCATAAATATTTACCTAAATTACAAACTCTATACTGTTGCTTGTGGTGTGATCATCTAGTCTGCTGATGAAGTTCATTTTCTATGCAAACTTAAATGAAAAAATAATAGGAGGGCAATGATTTTCTCATTATTTACAGTAGAAAACATTTTTGTGTGTGCTTGTGCGTGTTTGTGTTTATTATGAGTATAGAGCACGATTGTATAGAGTTTAAAGTTGGTGAGTCCCTAATCCAAATGGTATACGTTTTTTCTTGGATTGGTTAAGATCAAGAAATTGTTTCTTTAAACTTATAATCAGTGTTCACATTCCATTAGTTAAATCTGGCAATGTGGATGATTATGTACATACCTGTCTACCTGTGTGCAGTTGTGCCTCAATGGTTTTATGGAGATGATTAACGAGCATTGGGTCCCGGCTTGGAGCCCAGCTCCACATAAGGAGATTTGGGTAGCCAGGTAGTGTCACTAGCTCTTATACAATTGGTTAGGTTAATTGCTTACTACACAGATGTGCACAACGTGACTGAATGCGTTCCATGTGCGTTCCTACCTACCTACCTACCTACCTACCTACCTACCTACCTACCTACCTACCTACCTACCTACCTACCTACCTACCTACCTACCTACCTACCTACCTACCTACCTACCTACCTACCTACCTACCTACCTACCTACCTACCTACCTACCTACCTACCTACCTACCTACCTACCTACCTACCTACCTACCTACCTACCTACCTACCTACCTACCTACCTACCTACCTACCTACCTACCTACCTACCTACCTACCTACCTACCTACCTACCTACCTACCTACCTACCTACCTACCTACCTACCTACCTACCTACCTACCTACCTACCTACCTACCTACCTACCTACCTACCTACCTACAGTATGAAAGTACGACTGGAGGGTACTAGTGTAAATAGTTGATTAGGAAGTATGGCTTAGAAACCTCATAACGTCTTATACGTATGAGATACATATGCGGTTTTATAGGTGGAGAATAATATCCCTGAAAAAAATGACTCTTCGCTAAAAGTTTTTTGTTTTTGTGACTTCATGGGGATTTTAAACTACACACGGGAAGGTATATAAAAGTAGGTGTGAGGTTTAAGTTCATTACTGCTGGTTTTATTGTCTTTTGTTGTGCATGGATGACTATGCCATCTCCTGTGTATCATTGGGTAGCGGAATGTTTGTGGATTTGTGTCATTGGTTTATGTAGTTGACTTTCAGTTAGTGGGTCATAGATTCAAGCACCACTGCATCTTCTAAGGTTTGACCAACCAGGTAATAGTTCATTTGCCCTGATATAACTAGTATGGCTCATAGGTTACTTCACTAAAGCGTACATGGGCTGGTTGCTTATTAGATCTCGGTTTCGGACTATAAATTGAATGTGTAAATGAGATCATACGATGCAAATCGAAATATCCAGATAGCGTTTTAATCATAGTTGGTCTCTAGCGTAAAATGAGAAGCAAACTTACTTATTTTGTGTATGCAAACGCGTGTAAGACAAAAGTTATTCTTGTAGTAATGATACTTGTTATTTCCCACCCCTATACAAGGCCTCATTGCTCGACCTCTGCTGGCAGATAGACTCCTATGCGGATGCCTCGATACTGCCGGATATTCATGATTTTATACTGATCTTGGTGATTAGCAGATGAATCCGGGACATACGTTTCGTCGTATTTGGGACTCTTTAGCTAGATGCACCTGCGCCCCACTGAGTGTTATTCTCACCGAAGCTGGAGCCCATTACTCTTCGCTTCAAACTCCAACAGAGGTCGAGGAATTCGGCCTTGTATAGGGACGGGAAATTACAAGTATCATTACAAGAAGTGGCACTCGTTGCACAAGAAGTGGCTTTCGTATCCCAGTGGCTTAGTGGATAACGCTCTGACGTTTGGAGCGAAGGGTACTGGGTTCGAGCCTCGGTGGAACCAACATCACTCACTGGAGTGCAGGTACGTCCAGCTGACGAGTCCCAAATAGGAGGAAACGTGCGCCCTATATTCTTCTACTAGTCACCAAGGTCAAAATTTATTCTTGTTTCGAGATTTTACAGTTTCAGAAAAATCACTGAAAGCTATGAACATGACTCAATTCATCATTCCCCTAATTTTGTTGATCATTGAATAAGGTGTATTTTGAACTTACGTAATCCCGCGGCGTAATATACTAGAACAAATGACAAAATAAACAATTATTTTGTGTATTATACCTCAATGTTTCGGTCTTGTTAGGAAGATTCTCTTTGCAAGAGTATTAAGTTCTCAGGTTAATTATTCAAGTTTGGCGCAGAAGGTTACCTTTATAATCATCCAATTAGATCATGGTATGGAACAAAGGTCAGTATAATGTGGATGAGTGAATTAGTAAGTAAATCGATGAGAGAGGCTTTTTCCTATTTGTTCAAGTAAGGTAGAACATTCATCTTCATCCCATATCACGATTCAATTGGATGATTGTAAAGGTCACTTTCTACGCCAACCTTGAATAAGCAACATGAGAACTTAATACTGTTGCAAAGAATCTTCCCAAAATAGATCGAAATATTGAGGTATAATACACAAAATATTTATTGAAAGCAACTGGTCTCCTTAATGAATTTAAATAGCGTAAGTCCTTATTGAAAGATACATTTGATATTTTGTGTAACTATATTTCTCCTAACCATTCTTATATTCCCTATCACTCTTAATTTTTAAAAAGATTTATCATTATGACTACTATGTATCGAAAAAGCCTTCAATAGCGTCGAACGAGAAGTAATTTGGCAGTTGCTTCAACACTATAAAATGCCACAAATCTTTATCAACCTCGTTCAACAACTATATGAAAACGCCACATGCCAAGTAATTCACAATAAAAAGCTTAGTGACACCTTTGAAGTAAAGACAAGATTAAGATAAGGCTGCCTACTATCTCCGACGATCTTCTTGATTGTGGTCGACTACACTGGACTAGATCATGCAACAGACAAGTGTGAGAAGATGGGAATGCCACTGTATGACCGTTAAAAAATACCATAGAAGAGGATTCGGATTTCGTCGATGACGATTTATGCCTAATGTTTGGTCGCACAATTCGAAGATCTACAGGCGAAAACCAGTAAGTTGACAGAAGAGGCAGGGCAACGAAAGCCGGACTTCAAGTGAAAGTAGAGAAGACAGAAGTAGAGAAAATGAAGATACCCAATCAACAACAACAACAAGTACCAATCACCATTAATAGGAGAAACCTAAAGGAAGTAGTCTCTTTCACCCACCTACCTACGTACCTACCTAGACAGGCAGCATCGTTTCAACTACAGACGGCACAGGCACAGATGAGGATGTCAAAAACAGCCAGGATCGGAAAGACAACAAGGCAGGCCATCCTGAATCAATCTGAAATAATCAGTGTGGAGATGTACTGCACTCCACTGCACTGCAGTCAGTACAAAGCGTGAACAACATCCGGATTTTCTACACCAAGTTGGTCAAGTCAGTCCTTCAATGCGATGGTTGAGAGACTTGGGGCATAACTCGAAGAGCATTTCCAACAAACTACAAACAAACATCACATGAACAGCTGCTACCTACTCTCACTCTATACTGAAGACCGATTGGATGGGCTGAGTAATAAGAATAAGCAAGAAGGAACTCTGGCTGGCTGGCTGGCAACGAATCAACCAATCGAGAAGTTATCGCCCAACAAATATACAGAAGAAGAAAGTGGAGATGTATTGGATTGGATTGGATTGGTGGACATACAGTGAGAAGACCATTTGGGAACATTGCGCGTCAAGTCAGGCCTGGTCTTCGGGTGGAAGGGAAATGGGAAACGACGAGTTGGG